TGTTTCATTGGAACGATATGATGCTCCGGGCGCGTGTCTTGTAGATAATTGCTCCTCATCAAGAAATACTTGCTGCAACTTACTTCTTATTAGCATTTGTCGATTTTGAGGTACAGCCTTTAAAAAGGGCAGGAGACTGAGTAGGAATTGGCGTTCACTGTCACTATCTTCTCTATTTTTATGTTGGCACAATATTTCCAATTTGGCTCTTTCTATTTCGAGGAACTTGTCGTCCATTGAATTTGCCTCGGAATTCCTAGCATATTTTAGACGACTGTTTGTGTTTTTCTTAGTTTGCATAGTTGTACTACTAGGTGTACTGAATGTACTTTTAACCTCATTACCAGATGTGGATGGCTGCTGTATATCTGTATTTACAATTTGCTGTGATGACTCTTGAATGGTTGATTGAGAGTATGCATTGTCTGCATCAGGCTCCAATGTCGATTCTGTTTCGGAATAAGAGTTGTTATTGTCTTCCTTTTGCGGAGATATATTTCCATGCAGTTTACGTCGTTCAACAGTTTTAGATAAAAACAACAGTATTTTATAATATGGCCATTTGGAGGTAACTACCGATTCTGCACCATCTCCAGATTTCTGTTTTTTCGACTTGTTGAATTCCTTCCGGAATGTGTCTCGCAGCCCCTCCATTTATTTTTTAGTTCATCAACTGAAACAAAAAAAATCGTTACAAATTAATCACGTTTTTTTTTTCATTTCAGGTATTTGGCAACGGGCTCCTCGTTTAAGACATTGGGGTATTCGTTTCGAATATCAGATGTCACGGTGGGTAGAATTGTTCACGAAACGTGTGATGCTATTTGGGACAAGTTGGGTACTGTACATATGCCATTTCCGAAAAATGAAGACATGGAATCTATATCTGAAGGATTTTGGAATAAGTGGAAATTTCCAAACTGTGTTGGATGCATAGATGGGAAACACATACGCATACAGAATCCAAAGCACTTTGGAAGTATGTATCGAAACTACAAGCAATACTTCTCAATTGTTTTACAAGCTGTGGCTGGACCAAACTACAAATTTATAGCAATTGATGTGGGAGCGTACGGTAAAGAAAGTGATGGTGGTATTTTTTCGCATTCAAATCTTTGCCAAAAGCTTGAAAACGGAGGATTAGGTGTTACAAGACATTGTGCACTGCCGGGAACAAATATTAAAGTACCTCATGTTCTTTTGGGAGATGAAGCTTATCCACTAAAAACTTATTTAATGAGACCTTTTCCAGTATCAAAATTAGGACCTTCAGAAATAATTTTTAATGAGCGTTTGTCTCGAGCAAGACAAGTTGTTGAATGTGCATTCGGAATTATGAGTAGCAAATGGAGATTATTACAAAAATCAATTGAAGTAAATCCCGAATCTGCCGATAAACTTATTAAATGCATATGCCTCTTGCATAACATTATAATTGATAAAGAAGGAGAGCAACAAGTAGCATGTACATTCGAGCAAATCCCTCATCAAACACATTCAAGAACGGGAAGATTTGGAACCTTGGGTGAAAACAGAGGCACCAGTTCAGCTTATGACATCAGGGATAAATTTAAAACTTATTTTTCATCTCAAGAATTGTATAATGCATAATTTAAAATCAATAAAATATTCAAATACATTTTGGATTTCAATGAGCCTTACCCATATATGCCTTTTCTACATTATAAACAACAAAGACAAATATTTTGTTTGTTTGCAAATACATATATCATAGGTACCTGACACCTAAATTTGATTTAACTTACCCTTAGTATTCATTTCAACTGCCACTTCTTGCCACAATTTTCTTTGTATATCTCTCATGTGATATGATTTATCGGTCATTATCCCATAGAGGCTTTTTTTCATAAATTAAAGTAATTAATTTTTCAACATCCATCTCGTTCTGTTACAAATACAAATCGACTATCAATTCGTCATAACAACTGCGAAAAATCCCATTTGTTTCGGATAGATCGCACTTCGCATGTTTTCGTCCGAATTCGTACGAAGCAGTTCGGACGCAGTGTACGAGCATCAATAGGTTTCAATGAAACGGGATGCTTCGCACTTCTTCGTCCGATTTCTGACGAACGCAATTCGGACGAAAACGCATCCAAAGGACGACCGGCCTTAAGTATATACGTATTAAAAATATAATCTGAAACATCGTGCTAACGCTGTATGCAGCTACAATTTAGATGCCGTAAAGTAGACCACAGAAAAGTGGGTCTATGTAAATCATCGTTTTATCATAATTTTAAAATACACGGCGATTGTATATTATATTCATATACTAATTTTTTTTCTTTTGATTCAGTTAAAAATTATAATTAAAGATACGACCGATATAAAGTTATGAATGGTGATGATCGTTACCTTTGAAAATCGACATTGCGCCAAGTCTATCCTTTAATAATTAAGCCAAAGTAATTATTCCAAACCTACATATATTCGTATCTACGAAACTACGTATATTCGTATAAATTGCAGCGTTCTAAATGTGCTGCTATAAATTACTAGAACTTTCTCATTAGTTCGATCAACAAAAACGAAATTTAATGACTAAGGAAAGGTAGAATTTTCATTTTATAAAACATCACTGATAGAGTACACGTAAAACGTACGATTCTAATAAGAACTTTTTGATGGAGGTAGATATAAATTTGTTAACTTTATGAAGCGTAGGCCAATAAGAGCACTGGAAATTTGTTTTAAAAAAAGGATGAAATCGAATATGTTTTAGTGCAGCATAGGCAATCTACTAATTGTTCTTTAAACCCGTCGCGTTATGGGTAAATTTGTTTTACACGAAGGAAGGGTGGTGTCTAAGAAACACATATTATGTATTTAAATCGTTTTCAAAAAAAATTTAAAAAACCAATTTTTTGGGATATAATTCTTATTGTATATCCTTATAGAACTGATACAAGCAAACCCCAAAAAAGACAACAGTGGTAAATTTTTGGATATGTTTCTCAATCTTCAAAATTTTGTTTAACACAATCTTGACACATAGGCTTACATGTTATAGGCATAGCCATTTTCTACATTTTTTGCAACAATATCTTCTTTTTGATTTCGATAGTAGTAGTATCTTTTATGCGGAACACCGTCATTTCATTGTCGTATGGCCACTTCTAAACTCGTAAGACGCTGTGCAACATCACGCGTTTATCGTTTTGAGTGTATGTTTTTTCTAACGTTTTTCTAACTGTAACATTTTTGAGATAAATGTTCCGTGATAAATTTTCGTCAAGATACATATAGCCCAGTCTGGTTATGTAAAAATCATCGAATTCACGGCAAAATGTTTCGCAGATATCTGAACCTTGTCAAGACATAGGTGGGGGTTACTAGATGACGATATAAATAAAAAGATACTCCTATTTTTACGTTGCGTTTTAAATAAACAATATTTATATCATTTTTTTTATTTCAAGAATGTTTTTATTTTCCGTTGTTTGAATTAAAATTGAAATTTTGTTAATATTATTTGTAATAACTATTGATGTTAAGTAATAATAAATATGTAACGTTACTCTCTAAATCAGAAGTTGCAGAATTATTTTCTTTAAAAAGATTTTCACCCTTTAATCTTTTTTAGGAGGAAAAAACCTTTCTTTCTATCCAGCAAGATGAATCCAGCGAGATTCTTTTAAACGGCGTCCATTCCAAATAGTTAAGGAACCTTCTTGTGTTTTGTTGCCCAGGAAACCCATGAAAGTATTTTCTTGATTTCTGTCTTTGTAGTTACCCCTTCTAGTCCCTCCTTTATTCATTTACTAATGACCCAGCTTTTAACCAAATCAAGAGTAGCTGTTTGCAAAGTTTTCGATTTGTTTGCTTACCCTATCTCGAGCCCAGTAATTGCTGTCCCCACTTTTAACACCCTATAAGTGATACTCAATGTGGTAAGCAAAGTATATCGTTACAATGTAGATGGTTTGGAGTAGAAAATGTGGACTTTAAAGAATATTAAAATTCTTTAAAACTCTGTTAATGATTACCAAGGGCATTCAAAAGACGTTTCTGTCCGAGGGCAACTATAGAAGGCCTTCGTGTTTGTATGTTGCCTAAGGATATACACGTGTATTACTGACCACGGTGCATCTTTTATTTTATACTAGTTTGTTATCGTATCACAATCTAAATATTTTTAAAAGCTTAGAAAATTTATCACAGTAGAGTGAGCAATACCGTCGTTAAAAAGTGAAAATGTCAAATCTACCTATTAACCCTTAGTCTCCCCACGGTACTTTTAAGTACCACCAAATTCTGGTACCCTAAAAATCCCAAGCATTGAAAGAGATCGAATTTTAGAATAGAGGAACATTAAAAACAAAACAGAACATACGGTAAAAGAAGGTAATATTGAATCTGAACACACTAAGACACACAATTATGAACACACTAACGAATGAAAATTTGTTACAATGCTATAAGTCGAGATAAGATATTAATAAAAACAATAAATCCATTTTAGCTCATATCAATGATTATGTATGCATTGGTAAATATTTTTTTTAATAAATGTTAAAACAATAGTTAAGCTAGTATGCAATTTAACTTTATGGGTCTTCTTACTCTTGCCTCAGCTTCTCATCTCTTCTTAATGGTCTTTTTAAGGGCTATGTTTTAAATAATTTACACAGTTCTTTTGTCTTACGTCATAATTCTTTCTCTATATTTTTTTTTATATATTTTAGTAGCCATTAACTATTTGATAATAATACGATTTCGTTCAATAAGGAAAACTAATCCATATATTCCAGGTACTTGATTTTCCCTAGACTATTATATATAACGACGTACAATAGAAAAACAAGTTTATGGAAATGGAGAAGTATGCAGGAATTTTTAACAACTGATTATGTTGTGTGTCCTTAGATAAATACGTTTACATATTTACAGTGTAATTTACATTTTCTAAATAGTGTAACATACAATATAAAGAGAGTGGAGTTTTACAACAATGTTACAACTTAGTATATAAAGAAAAACAATTTAAGAATGGCTTATATCAGGTGTTGTTAGTGTTAATATTACGATCTGCAACATAATAACTTAAAGGTATGTATTTAATTATACAATAATTTTCTTAGCGCAGGGAAGATTTTTATTTTCTGTGGATCCATGTGTCTTCTTCTTCTTAATGTGCCCTATCAAGTCCCCTTGACGTTGGCGATTAACATGGCGAAACTGTCTCTAACTCGAGCTATTCTAAAGAGTTGCTCAGCTTTCCTTATTCCTATCCACTCCCTAATATTCTTCAACCAAGAGGCCTGCTTTCTACCAATTCCTCTGCATCCTTCGATTTTCTCATTATAATAAGTTAAAGAATATTATATCGATCCCCTCTTACTACGTGTCCAAAATAGGCCATCTTTCTACATTTGATGTTATCAAGCAGCTCGCGAGCAGCATTTGCTCTCTAAGGACTGCCACATTTGTCAGCATAGCCCTCCATGGAATTTTTAGTATACGTCTGTGCAGCCACATTTCAGAGGCCTCCAGACGATAAATGGTGAATATTTTTAATGTCCATACTTCGACACCGTATAAAAGGACTGACGAAGTGTAGCATTTAACCATGCGCTTTCGAAGTTGAAGTTGTAAGTTATCATTACAGAAGAATGACCTCATTTTTAAAATGTCGTGCGGGCTATCGCGATTCTACATTTTATCTCTTGATCTGGATCTAGTTGTTCAGTAGTATGGCAACCAAGATAATTAAACCTGGACACTCTTTGAATTATATGACCATTAACATATAATCGTGCATCTTGATGTGCTAAACGGCTAAACACCATGTGTTTTGTTTTTGAACAGTTTATGTTTAAGCCAAACTCTCTTCCCACTGTATCAGTGGCATTTAAAAGGCATTGTAGTCTATTTATGCCATCACTTAAAATAACTGTATCGTCTGCATATCTGATTTTATTTATCAGAATTCCATTAACTTTTACGCCCCATTCCAAATTATGCAGCGCTTCTTGAAATATTCTATCTGAATATAAATTAAATAACAGTGGGATAGTATTCAACCCTGTCTGATACCTCATTGTATTTTACATATTTCTGTTGATTTTCCGTTTATGCAAGCTGTCGCTGTTTGGACGCCAGTATAACTTTTCTCTGAATCGTATGTCTTGACTATCAACTCCTTTATCTTTTAATATTGTAATTAATTTGTAATGCTGTACTCGATCAAAGGCCTTTTCAGAGTCAATAAATATAGCAAAGACGTCTTTTCTTTAATATCGACATTTCTGCAGTAATACATTTAGTGCAAAGAGGGCGTCCCGAGTTCTCAGTCCATTTCTGAAGCCAAATTGTGTTTCATCCTGGTCTTCTTCACATTTATCTTTGATTCTACTGTAGATGATGCGTAGAAATATTTTCAAAGTGTGGCTCATAAGGCTTACCATTCTATAATCGCTACATTTTTTCGGACGTTGTTCTTTTGGTTAGTGTTATGAATTCGGCCTTTAACCTTTCAATGTTCTCCTCATTTATAAGCTTTAACATCTCTGTCGGTATGTTATCAGTGCCAACGGCTTTCTTGTTCTTTGCTAACTTTACAGCATGCAGTATTTCTGATTTTAGTATTTCTGGTCCTTCACCTTCAACTAAAGTCTCCAGTTATTCAGGTCTATCATCATTATACAGTTCACTTATATAATTACACCAGGTTGTTCGAATTTCATGTTCGTCTATTATCATTTTTCCTGAGGAATCGGTTATAGTATGTGGAGTTTTCTTATAATAAAGACCAGCTACTTCTCTAACTTTTTAAACATATTAAACGTATCATGTTTTTTATTCAACTCCTCTACTTCCTTGCATTTATCCTCCATACATTTTTCTTTAGCCACCTTTATTTTTTGTTTAATTAGTTTCTGTTTTTCCTTATATTCTGTCTTGTTACCTTTCAATTTCCTTCTCTGTTCCATTAATTCCAGGATTTCATCAGTCATCTATTGTTGTTTTTTGTGCCTTTGTAACGTTGTTGAATATTTTTCTATTACTTTCAAGGTAAGATCTTTAAATATGTTCCATATTTCTGTGTTGTTTTCATTTATTTGGTTTTTTTAGCTCATTGTTTAAGTCATTTTCTATTAACGTTTTGTTGGATATTGATATATTTAATTTTGGTGTTTTGGGGCTTTCTTGGACTTTTTTGAGCTTCACTTTGATGTCAGTTATTACAGGGTTATGATCTGAACCGATATCTGCACCAGGATATGTCGTTACTCTGGTGACGCCATTCTTAAATCTCTTGTTTATCAGAATATAGTCTGATTTCTAATCATATGTAGTGAATTATCTCCTCATGTATTTGCGATTATCTTGTCATGTTCTTGACAGAACTGGTATAATCTATCGCCTTTTTCATTGCTTTCCCTAGTCCATATTCACCTACCAGGTCAGATCTTCGGTCTTGGCCAATTTTTGCGTTAAAATCTCCAATGATTTTAATGTGACTTCGTTACTTTTTACATTTTTAAGTGTCTGTTTTAATTGGCTATAGAATGATTCGACATCATTGTCGTATTTCTTTTCTGTAGTAGGGGCATATATCTGGGTAACATTGACATTAAATGGTTTGCTATTTAATTGGAGTATTGCTAGTCTGTCGTTCACTGGTATAAAATTTTTCACATATTTCTTAAATTTAGACGTTATAAATATGCCAATTCCATTCCTATGATGTGTGTCATCTTCTACACTTCCAGAATAGTATAGTGTCCCTTCATCTTGTTCACATATTCCCGTTTCAGGCCACGGAGCTTACGAATGCCATTATATCAATTTTTAAACGTTTAACCTCTTGACCTAAGTTACTGAACTTACCTCCTGCATAGAGGCTTTTAACGTTCCAGGTACTAATCTGATTGTACTGATAGACAGTTTTAAAGATGTCGTACTTCTAAAATTGTAGGGATTTCATGTGATGACGACCGGGGAGGTCCTACAGTCTGATGCGCGTCCTTCCCTGCCGGATCTTGGTTTCCGTGATCCATGACCAGTAATACTTCCGTTGCGATTGTATTGAGCCATGTTAATTTTACTAGGGACCACAATGAGGTGGTTTTCCGTTGCCGTCCCCATCGCAGTATTACAGCCGCTTAACTCATATTGTGACTGACGTATCTTTGAGTATCTGGAATTAGGCCTACAGGATTTTTACTTCCCACAGCCTTAATCCAGTAATGACATTACTGCTGCCTAATGTCATATCCTCAGTTGATCCGCGTTGATTCATGTGTCACATATGTATAAATTTATGAAGTAAAAGATAATATTTATTTACCATCAAAAGACTAAGTTGGCACAGATATACTTAACTTGTGGGTACTAAATATTTTGAAATACAACCATTGAAAAGACCACTTCTAAACTGTGCTATTTGGGGTACCTTGATCATCCAATCGTCTTTCACATCTATAAAACACAAGAACAATTTAAAGACCAGTAAACATGTGTTTATCTCAAAGTACCTATATTTAAAATATATAAACCAAGTAACTTATTATAGTAAGTATATTTTGGATGCTTGAAATCTTCTACCTAGAAAACATTAATCAAGAGTTTTAAAAATAAGATTATTGGATTTTTTTTTTGTTTTTTTTTTTTATTTCAATTAACGTGTCTCGACTACGAGGTCATTGACACGATAACAGTATAATACAATATAAGGTATATACAATATACAGATTATTGGATTTAAAAAGGTTCTAAAACAGTTTTCTTGTGGCATTCCTAAGAAAACATTATTTTATGTTGGATTAACAGGAAAGCGATGAAAAGCGACTTCTACGGTACACAAAAAGAAATATTGAGATTCACAAGAAACCAACCGAAAGAAATGGCAGAATTGAAGGAGTACACTAACATACTAGCAAACGAAAGGGAAAGATACCTGACAGAGCTGTTTAAAGAAAAGGAACATAATAATCAACACGACAGCGTACCTGAATTAACATACTAATATTGCACTGTAATATACCAGACGCATGAAGAAACAGCATAATGATACCAATGTTCAAAAAAGGCGATGAAGAAGATTCCAACAATTATAGAGGTATAAATCTACTGAACAATGCACTTAAGCATACCACAAAAGTCCTAACTACCAAAATCGATACACTCACAACTTTATCAGATAAACAACAAGGATTCAGATCCAGAAAATCCAACGTAGACGCCGTATTTGTACTAAGACACATTAGAGAAAATGCCATTAAGTACAATAAACCAGTATCTTCTTCTTCTTCTTCATGTGCCATATTCTCTAAGAAGGTTAGCAACCATCATGGCAATTCGCACTTTCCATACCGATGCTTTAAAGAGGTCAGCAGAAGTTCAGTTAAACCAAGCTCTCAAATTGTTTAACTAGGAGATGTGTTCTCTTCCGCGATTCCTTTTACCCCGTATTCTTCCTTGCATTATTAATTGCAACAAGTATTACAATTTTATAACAACTTTATCTTTTCCCATTCTTCTCAACACCTCGACATTCGTGACTCTATCCACCCAACTTATTTTTAATATCCTTCTGTATGCCCATAACTCAAAGGCTGCTAATCGGTCGAAACATCTTTGTTTAATGTCCAAGCCTCCAACCCATAAAATAATACGTAGAACACGTAGCATCTCAGAAGTCTTATCTTTAAAGAAATTAAAATGTTTTTGCTGCAGAGTACTTTTTTCAGTTTGTTGAAAGGCTTTCTTGCCTGTCCTATTCTTCCCTTAATATCTTCTGTGTACTCATTCTTTTCGTTAATTATTGTACCCATATATTTATATTTTTCAACTTTTTTATTTATTCTCCATGTATTGTTATGTTTTCTTGGCGCTGTTAAACTTTTGTAATTACCATAAATTATGTCTTTTTTGTGTTTAGGGACAGTCTGGTTTCTTCACTGACTTCTACCACTCTGTCAACCAATTGTTGTAAATCCTCAAGACATTCCGCTAATAAAATAGTGTAGTCGGCAAACCGTATATTATTATTTGGTCGGCCATTTACTTTTATTCCCATAGTTAGTTCTTATAGTGCTTCCTGG